GGGGGGGGGGGGGGGGGGACTAAAGCGCTGACAATAATGACCATTAATAAAAGTCCCTCAATTTCCACTCTCTTATTTAATGATGTGGATATTTTAGTCCACTGAGAGGGATAAGCCTGCATACATCTGTGTGTGTGTCTCTCCCTCCTGTCTCTCTTTGCTCTTCACACTGCTGAGTAAACACACATATCTCCACAGTGTAATGGGATCCATCGGCTCATGTTTATAATTGATAAACCTTGCCCCGGCCCTCCATGGAAATGTCATCACACAAACACATACACACGCACACCTGTGCATGCATGCACACACTCAAACATGACCCTGTGTAAGTCTGTCAAATTAAGCCAAGGCTAATGGTCACTGTTTATCTTAACTTCACACGATTCAGTAAACATACCCTATATGTAAATAAAGTAAATCTCACTTTTGGCAGACAGAAACATGAGATTGAAATCGGAACTTTGAGACCACAGGTCGTGCAGTTTGTCAAAAGGCCAGAGACTGAGCATTGTGGGAAAGCACATAATTGTATCCTCTTTAAGGATGTCCGGCTGTAAACTCGAGGAAGGTTATTAGGAAGATTCTTCCGCAGAGTCAAAGAGGTATTTTTTTTTTTACAGTACGCAGGGCTACAACGATACGGAAGAAATAGAAACAGAGCCTTCAAATGTTTAGTGTTTCTACTGGAGAAATGAGTAAAATCACTATTATTTCTAATATTTTTAGCACTAAATGTGAGAGCGCTGTATTTGTATTCTCTAGCACTGAGAGAGCTCCACCACTTTCTGTGGATTATATTTAAAAGATGCTATATTTTAAACACTATTCCAGTGAAAATCATTTCAAACAAATATGCCTTGATCTGTTTTGGAAATGTCCCTTGTTTATGCCCGCACATCATGGGAAAATCTCTGGTGAAAAATGTATTTTAAATATATGTATCTTTGAAAGTATCTTGTACAAAAGAGATTATTAAAATTTCATATCTTGGTTTGGTGTCATTCTCCTCAAAGTCAGAGCTAGGTATTGAAAAAATCCTAATTATTATATGCACAATAAAAGGTATATATATATTTATATTGTTATTATTATTATTACTTAATTTGATTAATATGTATTAAATTTGATTGGATTTTCCTATTTACCATTTAGCTCTAGTTAGTGGGTAATCTGCTTTGTATTTATGTGACACAGCAAAAAATGAACTTAAATAAATCATATTTGCTATTGGCATTAATTTAAATAATAAATAATAATAACCAGCATTAGCATCAAACCTTTTCCACTGAAATCCAGTTTTAGCTGAAGCAGGGAGGGAGCTGGTCACCGTGCGGTCATATCCACTCACACCTGCCACATCAACTGGCCCTAATCCCCGGCATACTGGAAGTCATCTGACCAGCAATCTGGTGGGCTACTTCCCCTCAGTGGACCTTACTTCAAACACTCAAATGACTCAGATATCACCACAACCACAAACAGTAACACTACACTCCCTACCATAACAACTCTCGCACAGACTCTCCCTCACCCAAAAATTAGGGAAGAGGGCAGGGAGTGACATACTTTGTTGTTGTTATGCACACTACAACCTGACCACATTACATTTACTGTCCCGTTATAGTAAATTTGCTTCATAAAGGATTCATGTCTGAGAGGATGTGTGGAAGCGGACAGTAAACTTGTGCATAATCCAGCACAAATTAAGGCGTAATAAATTGATTGTGAGTTTAACACCAGCGTTAATCTGAAGATACGGACAAACTGGCTTGCATGACAGTTTACTATACTGTATGCACCTGTGCTCTCTAGGGCTGTATATTGGCAAGAAAATGGCAATACGATACGTATCACAATACAGAGTTTACGATTCAATATATTGTAATATACTGTGATAATGTAAGTACGATAAAATATTGCAATTTCTAAATCATTTACAGTAAATCTGAGTTAAAAAAAACTTTTCATGCAACCAGAACATTTGGATCCGCATTTGTATTTCATCACAGCCCCTGTAACATCCAAAGTCATAGCCCTCAGTTTACAACACTGCTATCTAGCGGTTGAAGATTTAAATATCGCGATACTTTTTTGTTACTTTTCAATATTTTCTTACAATCCTAGTACTCTCAAATAAAATGCAACTTGCACCTCAGTGTTTACAAGTGATGACAGAGCGATTAACAATGAAGAATTTCTTGAAGAAATTCTGGAAACACTTCTGAGAATCATCTCAAGCTGATGAACTATCCACTCAGGACAGGGTCCACATTTAGTTCTTGATGAACAGCTTTCAACTGATACGGTGAGTGCCATCCATTAGAAGAGATAACATTTACAATCATCTCACAAATTGTACAATACTCCACGGGCCATTAAACCGGCAGCCCATGATGATGTATGTGCGGTTGGCCAGAGACTGCATTTGTGCAAATCCAATGACGGGCCACTTGAAATAAAGTGTTTAATTAAGCATTGTAAACCTCAGCTGGCAGCGTCGAGGAGCTGTAGGACAGCATTTGACTGCACTCTCACAAACTAGCCCAGTGACACACTTACACAGGAGCAACGCCACTGACTCAGGCTGTCACGCTGAGTCCTGTTGCAGTACACACAGAGAGCTGCACAATAAGCTCACATGCACACACACGCAAACACACACCATAGGGCTGTGAACACTGACAAAACTTTTTCGCAGATGGGGGGAGGGGGAGGGGGGGTGAGTCAAGGCATTCCTGCATCTAGCCAAGCCAATAGCGGGGGAAGGGAATGCATGGTGAGCTTCGGGGGTGGAGGTTGTAACCATGTAGTCCCGGTCACAAGATGGAATGGGCCACCTTGGAGCAGATTGACAGCAGTCATATCCGAGCCACTTGCACCATCATGACAAGGAGGGCTGTAATGCAGCATGCCATACCCCAAAGGGAAAGGTAGGATGGCGTGCCTGTCAAACACAATGCTTGCTGACGTTTGATTATTTAGGCCTCCATTCAGGTTTTCCGCAGCAACATTGCCCCTTCATAAATAACTGAACAGGAACAGTGGTGTGGCCTCATGGAACGGGACAGAGGGTGCCTGTACTCACACAACCCCTGCGCCAATGTTGTTGGTGACATATCTATTTATAACTCTAATAGTAGTGGTGCCAAGTGATGAAGTTAAGCACATCGGTCTATACAGGAGACCGCTCCGTGTGAACAGCAAAAGCCAATAAAACAGTTCACAAACTCACTACTCTTCCAATCAACAAAACCAAGTCTGTTTCTCTTGCAAGTGTATTTTTACACATTCTATTTCCAAACACCAAGTCTCTATCTCCCTCGCACTCTCTCTCCCTTTTAGAGACTTGTTTGCTGCATACTTGGAAGCCATGGCATGGAAAGTTTACTGGTGGGAGTTAAAAGGGAGCTTAATTACATTTTATTGGTGTGGACAGATTATCAAAACGAACTGAGCAAAAAAAAAAAAAAAAAGTTTTCCCCCCCCCCCCCTTCCTAATGGAGCTCTTGGATATCTGTGATTTTCCACTAAGTGATGATAGGAGCTGGAAATTCTGACCCTCTAGAGCCCAGTGAAGCAAACATCCTCATCCCCAAGTGATAAACTGGTGAGAGAACCATCCCTGTCTTGATATTCACCACAGTCTTTGTCTCTGAACTCTTTGTTCTGGAAGGCCTGATGTATTATACACCACAGCGCGTCAAGATCTGAGAGTAACCACTTGTCTCCCAGCCCCCAGCTGCGTTCATGGGTGTCTCACTGGCTCAGGAGGTTGCAAAGAAACGCAACCCCACATGGCTGTAGTCGGACCAATCGGGCGAAAATTAAATGCTAATAGAGGTCAGTCTACACGTCTCCTTCCCATGCCAAGTCGTCTCCGCCATCCCACATATCCTCTCAGAAAACGTACAAATTAGTTTAACGGAAGTGACGTAAAAAGGCTAAACACACACATATATACACAAACAAATCATGCCATGCCACCCAAGTTATGCGGGCTGCACAATCACAAGCTCTGTGCTAGTGGTGGAAAGATGCACCTGGAGAAGTTAACTGACTGCGAGGCAAATGATGGCAATGTTTTTTGTTAACGTAAAAACCACATTCTTGTTTCTGTTTCAACCTTAAAAACTTAACATAACTTATCACGGAATTTCTTAGTATGTGTGATAAATACTGGCTAAATCGTCTGTATAATCCTGTTAGAGTTGGCCTAAAGATTTTTGGTTTTTAGACAGATTAGATTATCTTTGCCCAACACAGTTTTTAGAGTGATTCCACTGAAAAGACCAGTATGGCACACCATCACCAAGCAGTCAGGGAATAAATCTAACAGCTGTATATGCCGTCCAATGAAGAGAGAAGCAATGCTCAATGACCCTCATTAATTCCCAGTTGTTCTATTTTAGCACTGGCAAAAAGCAGCCTTGATTCTGGCTGCTATATACAAAATATTGGATAAAATTACTTTAGATGGGAAAACTTAAAATATGCTTGCTGGAGTATTTATAAACCCATTTTACAATAAAACCCACAAAACATTAAAATCACAGCAAGGGCAGTAAAATTGATATAAATTTAAGACACTTTAAATGACTATACAGTGAACCTAAATGCAATATACAAGCGTCTCTTCTTATTTAAAGCAGATAAAACACTCAAGAGGAAAAGGTTAACAAATAATAAATAACCTCACCTACTCCTCAGTGTTTTCTCAACAGGTTTATATGTACATGTTCTAAAATGTTGTTTCTACAGGCACCTTCCATCAGTGTGTACGAGCATGCTGTTAAAACTGGATCTGAAACACACATAAACTCAGGTGCTGCTGTATTTTAAGGCATTCGTTAACACTACATAGCTATACACAGAGTATGTGGTTGTAGGCTTACTGAAAAGGAGGTCTGGGAACAAAATATGATCATCTTCTGACAAAATAAATATTTCCTCCCATCATGATGACTGTTTATGGTGATGCTCGGCTGATGTATATGTTTCACCCCCCTTCTGTTTGTGTGTTTTATGACTGTATGGCCTTTTAAGAAGCAATGGTTTGTCCATGCGCAGCGGCGCCACACCACGAAATGCAAAATGGCCACATGGTCGTAGTAACCTTCAGCTCTGGTCCCTGGATTCATCCTCCGCTCTCTGGATGTCTAACGCCAACATTACGGCGACATGTGCCTAGTATCTCTCCCCGTTTCTAAATAAACACAACTGTCTCATCCAACGAGGCGATGTCGCGCACAACAAGGCGGATTTTTTTTTTTATTTTTTTTTTGCGTAATTGTGTTCAGCCACTGACGGGCAGCTGTAGCCTACCACATGGTCTTCAGCTGATATATAGGTAAAAGCCTCACGTCGGTGAGCTTTATCCAATGCCCACTAGGTTTGTCGTATGGAGTAAATAAGTCCTGATATAAAAAATATAAAATGTATTCCTCTGATTTTTAATTTTTTTTTTTTTTTTTTTTTTTTTTTTTTACAAAATAAATACATTGACACATTATCAGTCAGCAGAAATATGGCTTTTACAGGAGTTTAAGCTGGGCATGCACACCCAAATATGCTTATTAAAATAATATTACTCTCCTCGCATATGTGGACCAGATGCAGATAGTCAAGACCAGGAACAGCATCAGACCCAAAAACAATGTCGGCTAGCCCATTGGTGTGTCAGTTCTACATGTTCCTTAACATTATTCAGCTCCTCCAAAAAATAAAAATAAATAAATATAAAAGTCAGCGACAAAATGTATAATAAAAAAATAAGGTTGCCCAGCACCCAGCCCCTTAAAAAAAAAAAAAAACAACCTGGATGTGGGGAGGGAAAATAAATATGTCTGTAGCACCAGAAGGCTAAGTCTATATAGGCACCCTGCGGAATGCGTGGTGCGCTTCGCTGCCTGCTCTAAAAAATAGAAATAAATGTGTATGAATTGATTAGACAGGGGAATTCCTTTGAGTCGGGGTGGGGCTGGGTTGGGGGGTGTGTGGGGGGGAGCCACTTAAAACAGTCTGCTATTTTCCCAAGTCAACAGGATACTTTGACGTCGGCTGCTATGGCACACAAACACAGTGATTTTACTGATAAATGATGTAATCCCATCTTCAGTCTCCATCCTCCTTGAAGAACAGCAAGTGCGCGTACAGTGGCGTAAACAGGGCTGGCAAAAACAACCCAAAATATCAGAGTAAATGTTATTCCTTAGTGGCCCTATACCAACCAAGTTTAATATGAACGCCAGTGTTCTCGCAAGAATCCCCCGTGTGGAATGACCGTATGGGCTGGGGGAAGAGTCCCAGAAAAACACGTCGCAGATCCCACAGGGGTGGTGGCTGGGAGGTTGAAAAATGATATGAAAAACCTTCCCTTCCTCTTTTTTTTTGCCTATGCCATTCAGCAGCCAAACACTGCTGTCGATCCCCAGCAACAGTCTTGCCCGCAGTGAGAAGTCGCCTTTAGAAAAAAATCAAAAGAACAAAATCTCAGGTCCTTCGGGGTTGGACTATCTCCCGGGATTTGTAGCCCGAAGGAAAACAGCCAGACTTGTGCCACGCAAGACCCAAACGGGGTCTCGACCAGCCTAGACGACCTCCGGGTAGGGAGGGGAGAATATGTCCAAGGTAGTTGCCCTTTTACGAAGTGTCTCTTGTTTGCCTTTTATCCCCTCCATTGAATAGAGACCGGAAGGTGGAGGAGGGAAGAAAAAAAAAAAATACGCCCGTCGCGCGTGAAAATCCAGAGGCTGAAATCCGACGGTTCGCCCTCGGTGAACGCAGGCTGTGGGTCTCCGCTCCTCCGTGGAATCTCTGCTGTAAACAAGAGTCGGCTTCTCTCAGAAACACATAGTGCTACGGATAAGGTGGCGGGACGGAAAACCCGGAGTGGAAAGAGAGTACCCGGTGTTTTTCCGAAATCGCCTCAAATACACCCCACAAACAAGACAGCCCAGTGGGGCCCGGAATGCTGGTCAACCTGCACCGCGGGTTGGGAGAGCCAAAGTTTTCATTTATAGCCAGGCTTATTTGGCTTCAGTCCAGCTGAAACCCTCCAGCCTACTTTTATTTTGGAATCTTTACTTTCTTTTGTACAAAACTTTTGCTCAGCGAAGATAGGAAATACTATCAACCTGTTTATTTAAACCCCTACGTTTATTACATATCATTTCATTTGATCATTTCATTTGATAACATTGATGCTCATTGTTTCCATACAGTGAACTGAACGATTGAATGATGTGTGTGTCCATATTGAAAGAAAGTTTAAAACATGTTTGTGCCAGCGATCTGAGCAGCAACCCGGTGGGCTTTAAGAGGTTTTATTCATCCAAAGAATTTCATTGCATTGCAGATCCACCTGTGGGCCACACACCCCCATCAAGGTATCTCATGGTGCTTGTAGGGGTTTAGGATAGGTCGGTATAGTTTTATTTCAATTTGTATAAGACCCCTTCTTTACAACACAGGTAATTTCTCAATATGTGGAGGGAGAGACTATGGATGGATGTAAAGTACATCACAACTTTGTTTGAGTTACATCTCTATAACCAATGGTTCCCAACCTGAGGGGAAGATGATACCCAGGAACCCATTTCAACATGCAAGCCTGAACTTACAACACGACAGTTTGGTGTTAAACGCTGTCAAAGTTAACATTATTTTAATTATTTAATTCATTTTAATAATGTGTTTAAAAATGGAAATTAATCTGTTATGGCCACATTTTATACTAAGTGACAGGCTAGAGTTCAGTGAAATGTTCAATGTCAATTCATGTATTTGGAAGACTTTAGCTATTTTTATACAATGCTTTACTAAGGTGGCACAATAATTCAATGTTTTTGAGTTAAAATGTCTTCATTTGGGGGCTTTTCCAAGCCAATATTGAATAATATTGATTGTTTGCAATTATATCAGCATATAATTCTGGCATGCTTTGAATATTTCTCTAGCTCTGACCCTGCTCCTCATGTTCATTTTAACAAATTTCACTAATTAAAACAAACGCCATACCTGTGAGCCATGCATGAGTATGTCAGAGCTGTGCAGGACTCGCAAATTTATATCTGCAATCTGTTAAAGTGGCAGTCATTTGTGAAAGAGACGCCTTAGTAGATCATCTAAATTCTGCTATGCAGAGACTTTCAGGCTTTATTATCTTAGCTTTTTTTCGTGTGAAATACTGGATCGTTATTCTTTACAGACCCTGCTTTGTCGTAAGGGGTCACAAGCAAAAAAAAGGGTGTTGGTGTCTGGATTACAAACTGGGCAAGTGCCCGGGGGCCCTGAAGGCACTGCATTGTCTGTAAGGCAATAACTTAAGTCTTGAAGAACTTGGTGTTTTATGTATTTGTACCTAATACTGACATCTTGTAGAGGTGCCCTCCATGTGTAAAAATGTTTTTTACTATCATAAATATTGTAGTTTATATTACATGGTGCATATTCTTAAGAAGATTTGTGTTTAATTAAAGTATTCACCACTAACTGGCATAACTGGCATGAGGAGATGTTACATCCTGTTCTTCTGCAGCTAAGTTAGGTGAAGTAAAAATTAACTTTGCTGGGAAATACATCAACTGTATCCAGACCATGCTCTCTGCCATTCATTTCTTCCTAGGCTGTACACTTTTGACTCAATAACTTTGTGTTTGAAAGAGGTAAATGATTACATCACTTGCGATGAATGTGAGTTTTACTCTGAAGAAATCTGACATGACTTGTCGTCCACGTACATTACTCATCATCCATTCAAATTTGCTCAATTTTATTACATTTTTTTTCATATGAAAAACAAAAAGAAGCATGTGCATGTGCAATCAATGTGAAACAAAAAAGCTTAAAATTAGTTACATTTGAACAGAAGTGTGTTATATGACAATATTTTTATGACATGTTATACAGATAATATTGTCCATAATAAAGGTGAACAGGCGACAAAAGGTGTAGTGACTCCTTGTAATGAATACATATTATTATAATAAGTTAACATGTTCACGTTGCTTTTAAACGACTGGTGGTTTTCAGAGGGAATAAATCAGTGTGGTCAGAACAAACTGAGGGTAAAGCATGGATTAATACTCATCAAAGGCCATACTTGCATTTCTTTTGTAAATACAGTTGGTTGCAAGTGATGGAGACTTTGAATACTGTATTTGTGATGTGATATGTATGTTTCTGGGGCACTTATGCATCTATTATGGGATTCTCCACTTTCTTTTAGTAGCTCTTCCATTAGATTTTAAAATATATTATTATTCTGAACATAAAAAATAACTGCAGTATTAAGGGGGAAATGGTTACACTAACAGTCAATTTCATTTAGAGATGTATTAACTGTTCCCTCCCATTGTGTTGTTTTGTATTTCAAATAGGAATAATTCCTCCTTAATCAATTAAACAAAAATCGCTCTTAATAATGTTTTTTTCTTTCTTTTTTCTTTCTTTTTTTTTTTTTAGATAATAAGACTTCTTGCCTCTGGAGTCAACAATGTTCAAACCTACGAAGTCTATTTTGTGCACTGGAGCTGTACCATAGGTTAAACTGCATAGCATCGTCACAGGCCCAAAGTAAAACCTGACATGGAGCCTTCATTCAAGAGAGGACTACAGTACCAGCACTGCCCTCAGCGTTCATTCATCCCATACATGCAGCAGTGACAACACAGTGTGCAATGGGCGTCGCTATTCATTGTGAAGCCCGTTTGATCCTGGATGCAAGTTTATAATGTCACTGTCAAACATCACCGGCCATTAAGGTGCATTTCTCCGACAATAAGAGACACTAAGAAATACAATTCAACTTTTTGTTTTTTTCATTTCAGATAAGTTTTTGATGTATAGACTGTAAAATTGTTTTTAATTACTGTCTGCTATTCACCTAAATGTTTACCGTGTGGGAGTTCCCATACCATTTTATTATAAAAACGATTTCTTTTTATTGTAACTAGTAATTTAAAACTTAAAATTAAAGGGGTGTTGTGATTATGGCAAAAAAAAAAAAAAACATTGAATGAAACGAATCTTTAAGTGAACTCTACCACTACCTTCTCTACACTAATTTAAAATTTAAAGAAATGTTGACATATCACTTTCGTTTAATATATTGCCATAAAATACACCAGAAAAGCATTATTTTACTTCAAACCAGTCCTGTTCATTTATAATGAATGCTCTCGAAGCTTCATTACTAACTCTGAATTGCGCAACGAGCGAAGCAGCATGTGAAAGGAGCGAGCATGCGGTTTTTAAAACATAATTTATGTGGTGTGTGTGTGGGGCGGGGCACCATCTCGTGAGATTCCGGTCCGGTTAAGACTCTTGAGCCCCCTTCACTGTTTAGGTGTCACCCTCTGCTGCCACAAAGGTGGAATTGCAGTTGAACTGTGGTTAGGGTGTATGTCAAATACTAAGTCACAGCATTGCTCTGAAGCAGGGGGGCCACAACTGAAACTTAATGATGGGCCATGGGTCAAAAGCAAACAAGATAACAAGTTCTGAATTTAACTCGCTGAACCAGGCTACCAGGCCGTAATTCTTGCGGGCAATTGTGCACTCTCAAAATCCGTCCATTAAAAGCCACAGATCGGCTCAGATTGTTAATCGCTGTGCTCAAATTCTGAAAAATAATAATCATCGATTTAATTTCAAATCATCCGGTGGGCCAAATGGAACCTTGTGCCGGCCCTGCTCTAAAGGCAACAAAGGGGAATACTTTTGGTTGGTGTAATTAAAGGCTGCAGGTGACAAAAAGTGCGTTGTTTTTTTAAAGGTAACGTAGCAAAATAGTGTACCCTATATGCAGCAATTTATGTAACAATTAGAGTATATAGCTTGTGTTTAGGTACCAGTTTTAGTCTTTTTTAAATCTCTTTTACACACAAATACACATTAAAAGACACAGATTCCATCAGATGCAAAGATTAGAAACAGACTGTTTCATTTTTATGAACACTTGAAATCACAAAACATCTTTAAAAATAGTAATTGGAATTCTATATCTTGATGGTCCTTCATTGATGATCCCTTTAAAACATAACATAATGGTAAATACATCTATCAACAGGTAATTCCTGCTGGATTCTTTGTTTCTGAGGAACACTCAACCACAGCATCTCAAGTATTGCAACAGCACTGCTTTGTCCCTTCAGTGCTTAATATATGCAAAGAGGCTAAACTACTTCTCAGAAATTACACAATTAAATAACACCAACTGGGTTGAGAATAATTTACTGAACAGGATTGAGTGGACTAGATTAAGAAACTATGAAAATGTTAACTGTGATTAAGGATTTAGGAAAGAGGTTCATTTTAAGAGGATCAGGACCATGTGAATTCTGACATTAAGATCAGAATCTTGAGGTCTTCATGTGTGGCGTTTGTTCTGTTACAAAGAGACACCTACCATGTCTCCACTGCCTCCCTGAATCACTCTCAATATACTGCTGGTCAGAGGTCTGTGCATATAAAGCATATACTTCTGTATTCAACATGTGCAGTATACACATAATATAAGAGTGTGCGTAAATCGTCTGTGCGGAGAAGAAGGTTGGTAAAAAAGTTGCATAAAAAGAAGTTTGTATATACTTTGGCTGAGGTTGTACTAAATTTAAGTCTACAGTTTTGTATTAAGGATACTGTTATTTTTCTCCTGAGGAACAGAAACCTCCTCCTCCTCCTCCTCCTCTGCCTCTTTTTTCTCTTCAAACGCCCCTAGTAAATCCCAGGACTGCGGAACTAGTTGGTGACAGAAGCCTAGCTCCGCCAGCTTGGACACTGCAATAATAGATATCACAGAGCAAAGCATGGCCAGAGTCCTGTAGGGAAAGTATTGTGTGATAACTCCGTCCTCCTCCCTCCAGCCAGGGTACAGGAGGATAGGTGGGATCCCCAGCACTGGCTCCCCGCTCAGCCCACGCAGCAGCAGTCCCACTACATAGCCGCTAATAGCACCGTAGATATTAGCACAGCTGAAGTGCAGCACGCAGACGAGCTGTGGGAGAATCACGCAGTAGAGGAGGTCCCCACTCAGCAGCCAGAGGGCGAACACACTGTCGTCATCAAAGGCCAGACCCATTCCCGCCAGGCCTACCAGCAGCACGCTAACACGGATCACCCGCTGCAGCTCTCGCTCCGAGGCCTGCGAGGAAGAGAGAGGAAAGGGACAATAAAAATTGAGTTCCTTTGCCTCATGCTGAACCAAACACACACACTCACGCACGCACACACCTGCTTCCTCAAAGTCGTCTTGTATATGTTTTGTGTGAACATGGATGCTGAGGACAGCAGTACAGAGTCCACTGAGGACATAACTGCTGCAGCCACAGAACCAATGCCTAACACTGATAACCAGGTGGGTGTGAGGTATTGCAGGGCCAGTGGCAGGATCTTTCCTGCCTCCCCTCGTTCAAAAGGAGGGGGTAGACCATACGCTGTCTGGTTCCAGTCTTAGAGAAAAGGAGAGCAAGAGAGAAGAGGAGACATAGTGGTAGAGAAAGACAAAGCCAGGGTTGAGAGGAAAGAAAATAATAGGAGGGGAAGAAGCTTTTAAGATTATGGTGATGGCATCAAAATAAATAAATAAAGCACTGGGGAGAAGGAGGCTAAATGTTTGAAAACAAGTAAATGTCCCAACATACCGATTATGACATGTTAATAGTAAATGCTCACACATACAAATGAAACCAAGATTATTATATCACCCCATGCCATTAACCATGGTAGTAGGATCTAAGTGTTAGAACATGTTGTCTAATTGAAAATATAAGTGTGTACTGTATGTGCACAGCTGAGTGTTTACACGCATGTATACCTGCAGAGGCAGCCACCGCTCCAATGACAACGGAAGGGATTCCCATAATAAAAACTGTCCCGGCAGCAGCAAAACATGTGACCTGAGCCTGAGCAGAGGAAGCTGCGGAGAGGATCCTCTGGTATAGAGCTTGATAGGCCAGTCCCCCCAAAGCCTACAACATACGCATGCACACACAAAACACACAAGCTTTGTCAGTGAACAACTTGGAAATTCATGCCGTTAACAAAATAGAGTTTTCTCACAGTTCTCAGACAGGTTAAACACATATTATTTCAATAAGACGAATCACTGCTGGATAACATTTATGTGTGCCAGTTCCAGCGCCCCGGTTTTGTGGCATGTTGGTTTACTAGCATGACTTAGTGGTAAAGGACAGGTTCACACTTTTTTGAGTCTTATAACAAAACTTACACGCCCATATGTAACTTGTAAGAGTTGTTGGTTGCTGCAAATGCCTCCCCTGTCCATATACTTGCCATAACGAGATCCCCTGCTGTTGCGATTCCAATGGAAGACATAACGTATAATCCAAACGTATTCTTTTTCAGTGGCCTCTTTGTATTAATATGCATTCAAAGTGAGACACTGTTCAATAAAAAGACTGGATTTGTGGATTTTTCCCCTAGCACTTACATTGGAATTACATAAGGAGGGAATCTTTTCGCTTCCAGTATGGACAGGTGGAATTATTACAGCACCAATAACTGTGTCAATGTACATATGAGCATGTAAGTATTAAGATTGACTTGGTAAACTGTGAACCTCTCCTTTAAATGAAACAGAGCCATCATCACTGTTAGTGGTGCTGTTCCTGAATGTCAAAATATCCACTGTCAAAAAGGCCACGCGAGCTACTACTGCTATGTTAAAAACATAGGGAAGAAAGTCATATTCTGTTGAACTTTGCTGCACATGCGCACACACAAACATGCACACAAGACAATCCTTTTTTATTAACATTTAAGTCTATGCTAACTACAGGATATTATATAGCAACAGTGACATTAGTTGTTGAGCCCAGAGGAGCAAGCCAGCTTTAATGGATATCCTGAACTGAAGTGCGATTTCAATAGGCCTTTTTCACAGAAGACATTTTGACAGGTCACAGAAGGAAAAGCACAGGTGTAAATAATAACATTAATTATGGCTGAATTCCATTTAGCTGCTTCAGATTGGACTGAAAAGCTCCAATGATGAATTACAGGCTTTCCGGGATGTATGGGAAGCCTATACTGAAGAAACAGTATATTATGTGGTGCAATGATACAGCTTAGGATGCTCAATTGCCTAACTCCACTACACACACAATGACACAAAATAACACTTAAAATCTAACCAATAACAGCATTTCATCCGCCCATTTTCCTGCATCTGCCAGCTTCAACTCTCCTATCCATGAGTTTACATTTGTTTGGTTGAGGTGGACTGTTTGTGAGATGTCAGTAACTGCAGGACTGAGTAGCAAAAAAGGAATACAGAGAAACTGAAACAGAGAAAAAAACAACAACTGTTACAGCAAAACTGTCAAGTCATCTATTCAATTTCTTACATTTCTTATCATACTTCATCATGAATGTATTTATGTATCTCACATATTGTAAGTCCCATTATTTCTATTGCCTTCCCACCATCCTACTCCCCCTCTCTTCTCAGTCATTTATGTCTCTATTGCACTCCCTCTGTATTTCCCTCCCTCTGTGCTTCCTCCGTTTCTCACCAGGCTGACAAAGATGAAAGAAAGCTGGATGATATCAGTATATGCAACAGAGTAGAGGCCTCCTAAAAATGTGTAGATGATGGAGACGGCTGCCGAGAGAATGATGGAGAGGGCAGACGACAGCTCAAGAATTATGCTCATCGTTCCTCCTGGAAAACACACAGAACGTTAAATCAGAGACGGTATACAAAAATGTAATGAGAGTGTTGAGATTAGATGTTAAAGCTGGCACATAAAGACATAGGTGCAAAGTATTACTTACCAAGAGCAGCAAGGATGCAGGCTACCCACAAAATATCACTGACCAAAGCAGGAAGCAGTAGTGTTGCAGTGAACATGTTGCCATAGCGATACTGAAATGGGTCCAACATGGTCACATACCGCTTCGACCTCATAGGTTTTGCAAAAAACAATCCTCCTTCAGAAACAGAGAGTACACAAGGAAATGAAACAAAAATATTAAAAATCATTAAAAATATTCAAATGATTTAAAGTATTCATTAAATCATTAAAGTTATTTTTCATTGGTTCCAGCTCAAATGTGAATATTTTCTGGTCTTCTATGATAATAAAGTGACACTCTTTGGGTTTTGAACTAATGGTCGGACAAAACAAGACATTTTAAGAAGTTGTCATGGCCTCTGATAACTTGTGATGGGCATTTTTCATAATTTGCTGACACATATAAGAATTAATCAAGGGTATAATCAGTAGATTAAGTGATAATGGCAGTAATCATCAGTTGTAGCCCTAGTTTCAAGTATCCTACATATAAAGTATTTAACATTTTCCCATTATATTTTGCCTGTTAGGTATGGACTAAAATGTCATCAGATCTTTTCTGCACACAGTGGCTCAGTTGTTACTAGTGCTGTCACCTCACACAAAGAGGTCATGGGTTTGGATCTGACTGGATGGAAAATGCCTGTGTACAAATCCTCCCTTTGTTCGGAGCGCCTTCCTCCTACAGTCCATAAAGAAGTAGGTTAGATGAAGAGAAAAGTTTTAAGTCGGTAGGTGTGAATATGTACGTGTGAATGTCTGTCTGTAGGCCTAGATAAGACAACAATCTGCTGATGGTGTATGAAAGAACCTTGACAAAAAATGGAAGTATAATACTGTTAGGAATATACAATCCTAAAAGACAATGTATGCCTCACCCTAAAAATCTGCGTTTTCTTTTAATAGCAATCAAAGTATTGGATTATCAGTTATTTAATTTGTGTAGCTTTTCATATGTTAAAAAACTAGATTAGTCATTGCAGACATCCACTTTGACTGAACTCTGTCTGAGTCTGAGTCAAGGATCTCTACCCTCCATCTTGTTCAGTGCATGCTGGGAAAGGTAAAAGCCCACAACAAAACTAAACAAAGATAAGCAGGTAAATGGTATGAAAAGATCAAATATTTATATATATATATATATATATATGTTTCGAAATGTACATGTTACCAGGGCTCCTGTATGTCTTGTAATTTTGAGTTTAAGAAGACAATCAGCAAAAAATAAACACACTCAAAAGCACATGTGACGTATCACATCCTGTGACACAGTGAATGCTGAAAATACAATCCCAGGGTGCCACTGCTAACCCAAAATAAAACAAAAAAACCTTCTCGAAACGCCAGATATATTTTCGGAATGGTGTAATAATCTTGCTAGGTTTGTACAATAACCATCACCTCTTCCTCTGTTGTGTGTTATTGTACAGAAAGCGTCATTTGTTTTAGATACTTACCCAAAAGAAAATTGATAATATATGCAGGAGGCCCCATAGCCCAGATGAGACCTTGAGTAGGAGAATAAACAGCCTCAGCAGTTCCCATAATGTAACCTCCACCAACCCATGTTGCTAGAAAAAAAACACAAAAATGAAGTGAACAACTGAGCAACAAAACACAGGAGGGAGCATAGAGCACACACAATAAGGAACACACATCAAGTACTACTAAATGACAGACATAAAAGTAAAAGTTCTACCTGTCATGGTGAAAACCCCAACCAGGACATTGATGTTGCGGCCTCCAACCATAGTAACTTCGCTCTTGCTGCCAGCAAATGTCTTCTCCACTTTCTTGGATTTTCGAGATGCCCAGATCCCAATTACCAGGATGACAATATAAAAAACCACCACAGCCACCAGTCCAGGGACGTTCACTGCCATGATTGCCTGGTTACATAAAGCACAGTCCATCAGTTACACTTACATATGACATATGAAACACAGTAGGTACAGCTGTTAGTTTAGCTGCAGTCAAAGACATATTTAACATCAAGGCTGTGCTACAACCCCCAACGAGAGTTAGTACTAATGTCTTTTGAACTTTCTGAACTTGACCTTGACAGGCTGGCAAGAGTTCTTGAACAGGCCTCCACCACACACCCGGTGTAGAGTACAGGATTTTTTCCTCCTTTACTCCCTGGTTAGGTAAAGTCAAAATGTGTTCATCCAATCATGGCAAACAAACATTTTTGACGTCAACCCGTCAACAACCACACAAGGAAGGTCTAAAATAGACAATAGTTACGTTTACCAAAAAGATGTACTGAAAATATTTGCATGATGCTAAAATGGGGTAGTGGACTTGCGGTTTGACGCTGTTGGTTGACATGTAAAAATAGGTTTGTTAACGATAATGATAGCCAGCCATCTGTCTACTTGGCTAGCTTGCTACTTATACTACAAGTTATAGGCCATGGGCTACTGAACCTGACAGGATTTAGTTATCTTGTTTGGTAACTGCCCTTTCTTTCCTGTATGCCTTCAGTGGACAGTGACAGCTAAGGACAGACAGGTGATTGCCATTTCAAATGTGATAAGTAATAAATATTATACTCCCTTGGCTGACGTGCATTAAATGTCAGATGGCACTGTGTGTTTATAATACAGCCACTACTGTGACAATGCATGTATGTAGCCTATAGGAAGATATAACATTTTTAATTTATAATTAATTGCATAATGACCAGTCAAAGGGTTATGGATAGCATCCAGTGTTCACCAGGTCTTACATAACTCCATAACTAAACAATGCAAATTTGTGCTGGCTCAATGGTCTCCCACACAAATCAAATATTTTTGTATTTCAGAATAGAATAACAGTGTTTCTGGGTCACTCTCTTACTTTAAATGAAGTGCTGGTCTACTTAGAACAAAATGCTGAAAACTATGAAAGACAAAATATAATATAGGGTGCCTCAGGGTAGATCCAATAGATCCCTGGGACAACAATCGGGCCATGATGGATTTACTCAATTATTATCTGGTAAATTACACTTCAAAGTTCAATCAGTTTATTTGACAACTATGCATTTATAGCCTACAACTTGTAGTACAAGTAGGAAGCCACCTGAATAGATAAATGGCTATCTATAATTATTGTTAACAAAACTCTTCTTACATACTAACCGACAGTGTTGGGCAGGGGTTGCGTTAAGGAAATATATCCGCCACTGACTGAATTTCTTTAACAATAACATAAACATCATCATCAACATATTTTTTTTAAGGCCATACAAAATAACTTGATGTGGCACTAGAGCACCCGGATCTCAAACTGAAACAATTGGACAGAATGAAAATAAAAATCCACAAAACTATCTTTGTTAGTCCTTACACAGTCTGGTTTGGTCAAAATAAACCCATGATTCACCGTGTTATATGGGAAAATATGTGAAAAGGGATACAATGGCCACAGCAAGTAAGCTTACATTAATGCACCCATCCTCTAAAAGTAAATCCACTAAAAGTGCTTGTTTTTGCCACTGACCGGCTCATAATTCTTATCTAACAATATTATGGAAAGGATCCCTATTGAGATATACCTTTTGTTCAACCAGAAACAGCCGTAATATCACTATCACTCGCCACCAGACTCCATAAAAACATCATAACAAAATAAAACTCTGAAACAGTCTTTGTTAGTCCACTGTACTGTACTCTGGTTCTCATTTGTAAAACCTAGGCTGTAGCATAACCCTATCATTTAACTTCATTTTGAACTATATTTACAACCGACAAATCCTTGCTGATGAAGAAAGATACACTTCACTTGGCCATCCCATTATTGCTGGGTAGTCATTAGCACGGCAAGACTTAAGCAAGAGTAATATGACCAATGTTCAAAACACGTGTATAGTACCACCTGCTACTTGAGATTGATACAGAGCGATGGCATGACCTGAATTAACACCTCTGGGCACATTCCTGATTGAACGAGTCATATCGAGGCTGTAAAAGAGGAGGGGGGTAGAGGAAAGACCCAAGAGAAAGTAGCCCACGCATCCTCAGTTTAAGCCTGAGACCCACAACAAAACAAACCAGCTGATTAAAGCTCTAGTGGGTGTAACATTTAGGAGGCTCTTTTGGAAATGGAATACAATATTCATAGATATGTTTTCATTAGCATATAATCATCTGAATATAGGAATCGTTGTGTTTTTGTTACCTTAGAATGAGCTGTTTTTATTTACAGAGGCCGTGGGTCGCCTTCCGTCCAACTGCTATGTTTCTACAGTAGCCCAGAATGGACAATCCAAACACTGGCTGTAGTTTCACGGCCACCATAGTTCCCTCCTACACACGTCACAGCCCGTTCTCATTCCCAGGTCGTGAAATACTAATGCGAGCTGTGTTCAGTTAGTCACAATCGGCAACTTCCCCGCTCGATGCCACTAAATCCACACCATCAAAGAGGGGCATCACCCAGGGATGCTCCATATGGATAGAAAGCATGTAGCCAGGGTCACGCTACCATCGAAGATCCTGATGTCACGTCCTTTGTAATTTTTCTAGGAATTAGTTTTTTAGCAACCCTTGGGGAGTTTAGATTCTTCAGTTAAAAACACAATTCTTCAGGATGGTTCCAGTATTTTCAAATCCTACCAGGATACAGTCTTTCTTGCCTAGAAGGGTTTTGAAATAGTGTGTAGACCTTCATGTTGGGAAACAGACTCATTCATGTTTTATTTTAAATCACAGATCCATAATTTCCTACTAAGTTCACTGTCGGTTTCCTGTAAAGAGCTATGTGATCTAGGAGTAATTGTAGGGAATAAAGTTTCTTATTTTAGTTTGAGTTTACCAGAATAATTTCCTTGAAAGAATTACTCCAATTAAATAAAGTTGCAGAAAATATAGTTGAGCAGTTAACTATAGTTTGGTTGTATTTCTATTTAGCTTTCTGAGTTCTTTTACTCACATTGCATACCCCACTGTAAAATTCATTAACTAAGTAGTGTAGTTACTAGGGTGGAAAATTATCTTTTTAAAACGTAAACATCTACCAGCCACTGACACATAATTGTTCAAATTCCCCAGCCAATACTTTACTCAATAGTAAATCATTATTTAATAGCCACTTAATATTTTACCAACATTTGGCTGGTGGTAAGTTCGAACCTGGATGTAATTTATGATCTGTAGTTTGTTAATGATAGACAATCCAGCATTTTTTTTTTTTGGTATCAAGAGCAGGTCATCTTAACACTGTCTGTGTCAACATGACCTATAAGAAGTATCTAGCTAGGTTAACTGTTATGTAATTATTTAGTCCTTAAAGGACCAGTGTGTTGGATTCAGTAGCAGTCACTTCATTAACTTTGTAACTCTGTGTGTTATTTTATACCGTTCAATGTGTCATGCATGCAACTCTATGGTTTGATCACATAGGTAAATACATTTCACATCACCAGGAGACATGTTTGTTGTGTGCTAGTTGTGGTCCTGTCACTCAGGTCCCTAATGATGGTGTGTTTAAGCAACTGTATTTAAGCCACAGCTGTGAACAGGCACTCGGCCGTGGGCATGGGCCACACTGATTTGCCTCCCTTCCTCTGGTTCTCGCTGGAGGTTAGAAGACTCTGGAAGTCACGGTTGGGGGTCTACCTGGACACAGTTCATCATAGTTAATAGTGGAAATGAGCGAATATAACATGGATATATCTGCACAGGGGGGGGCAGGATCTTCTAAACGACTTCCGACACCATTTCTCAGCCAACAAATCTGGTTCTATCTGGAAGGGGCTCAGACAGATGACTATCTACAAACACCCGCCTCTCCATCAACGACTTCCTGGCCAACGGACGAGATCGATTTGAAAGACAAAGGGACAGTCCTGATACCATCCCCCGTGACACCCTCCACCATCCCCATCTCACTAGCTCCCCCATTCGCAGCTCAGCAGGAGCCTGGGCCTCTCCACAACTACACATCTGTGACCACCCCCTCCTCCACCACAGTGACGACTCTCTGCCTCCAAGAGAGGGACGTCAACAGGCTCTTTAAGAGGCAGAACCCCCGCAAAGCAGATGGACCAGACTGGGGAAACATGTCTCTGACTCCCGGACCATCAGCACCGGATTCCTCCATGGCTGGGTTCTTCGTCAGGCCCCTGAAAATCGCAGACGACACCACCTTCATTGGGCCAATTTCTGGTGGAGATCCCGCCTACAGGAGGCAGATTGACCATCTGGTGAAGCCAGATCAACCTGGAGCTCACTGCTCTAAAGGGGGAGATGGTTGTGGACTTCAGGAGGAACCTACGACCCACGACCTCTAGTGGGAGCTGAACAACTGCAGAGGATGTACTGCCAGCCTGCCAAAGAGGATGATGGTGCACTTCTACACCACCATCATCAAGTCCATCCTCACCTCCTCCATCACCATCTGGTACGCTGCTACCACTGCCAAGTACAAGGGCAGACTGCAGCGCATCATTTGCTCCAGTAAGAAGGTGATCAGCTGCAATCTGCCATCCCTCCAGGACCTGTGGTCCAACTATGGTGGCCCCATCTGCAGCCAGTGTTTGTTCATTCTGGGCTACTGTTGAAACATTGTGGTTCAACATGGCGTGATACGCTGTGTCTATAAAAAAATAACTCATTCTAAGGTAACAAAAACACAATAATTGCTATATTCAGGTGATTATACACTGATGAAAACATAACTATGAATATTATATTCAATTTCAGCCAATGAAGCCTCCCAAATTTTACATACTGGACTTTTAAATCCACCAATAAAATACAAAAGAAGAAAGTGACCTGCCATATCAGTAGCTAATTTAGCTATCCTTGTGTCCTAGTGGCCAGAATTGAAAGCTAATGACTCGCCAACCCGGCAATACCTGATCCAGTGGGTTACTACCATCACATGCTAATTTCCAGCCTCAGAAGCTAATGACCAGCCCATCACCAAATGCGAATAGGTGGCTTCTCACTTCCCAGCGCCAGCCTCTCAGTTACCGCCACAGGATTAATACTGTAATCTTTCGCACATTCCTGCAAACTGTACAGCTTCCATTTAAAATAATATATACTGTACATATTATCTAGTATTGTCTTTATAATATTATTTTCATACATTATTGTACATTTCCTATTGATGTTTCTAGATTTATGGTACTTGTTTTCATGTTTATTTTGTTTTATTCTTTTTTTGTTTTATGCACCAATGAATATTATATTCCATCCATTATATTTCATTTCTGCCAATAGAAATATTACACACTGGACCTGATGTTTGATTTTTATTAATTTAATTCCATTTGAGAGAGTGTATGAACACCAGTATAGTTTGTCATTAAAAAATGCTTGTTAGATTTAGATTGATTTCAGAAAGCTTCTACTAGCAAAATGAATGTCAATCTTGGTAGAATCCTTATTAAATGTGTCATAATATATTAAATGCACAAACGGATTATATTAAATGCACAAACAGTACAGTAATGCAGTACTATCTAAGATGGTGACACATTTGTATATGTCAAAGATATGGACAGTATGCAGAAGATTATATACTGGATATTTGACAGAATTTATTTTAATATGATATGATATATGATATGATACGATATACAGCTCTGGATACAGATCCATAAACTTGTATACCATTGGATCTTTCTGGATACAAGTCCTTTTTGTCTAGCATAAATTATATTTAAAGCATTTTCTATCCCTTAACTAAGTCACAATGTAAAAAATGCTCTACTACAAGTACTGGAATATTACCAACAAAAAGTACTCATACAGATGGGATTGCCCCTCTCAGAGTAATGTAATGCTGGATTATTCATGTTACTGTTATTAATGTTTAAGCAGCATCTAATTGCTGGTGGAGGTGGAGTTGTTTTACCTACTGGAACTGGTTTCACCTACAACAATACATTTTAAATTTATAAGCTACATGTATGTTGCAATGTAACCATGGCTGTAAAAAAAAAAAAAGAAAAGAAAAATGCGGTGGAGTAAAAAGTAGGCCTACAGTGTTTCCCTCAGAAATGAAGAGCATTTCTCCCTCAATGCAGGAACAATGAAGGGTTTAATATGTATGTAACATCTATGCTCTGTCGAAACGGCGTTTTTGAATGGTGGTATAACCAACAAATTCCCGTTTAAATACCTTTAGAAATCCCCCTAAAACACCCCCAATCCTCCAGGGTGTGTTCACAGATGATTTCTCTGTCATGCAGACTCATAAGAAGCATCACACCATATCTCCTCTCATAAAGAAAAGGCGATTTACCACGACCGATTTAACACAGGCCAGCTAACAATCAGGACAAGAAATCACCATCGTAGCGTCAAATCCTTATCTATACGGTTATCGATTTATTGAATATTGGGGTGTTTTTTTTTTTATTGTATCTAACCTAGCAGCTTAACATGCTCAGGTATCTAGCTACACTTGTTCTCTCGGTCCGGCTCTATAATGAAACGCAGCATCATGCTATAGACCCCGGTTAACGTTAGTCCCCATTTAACTTGTTAGCTGGCTTAATACAACCATTATAACCCGTTATAAAAACCCGCAGTAGAGGGAAAAAATTAAAAATAAAATAAAATATTAACACAAGCGCGGCCGAATGAATTGGATTGATCCAACCTGATTTTAATTATGATATTGATGTGTTTAATAACCCTAAAAATAAATTTGATGTTTAAATTGTGTTCCCATGTGGTAAACTAACGAGACTTACCTTTCGGAAGAACCGGAGTCCTGCGAGCGCACATCTGCTGCCTGCAGTGAGCTTCAGTGTCCTTAATCTCGCCGCTGGACAATTCTTCTCTTTTGTTGTCCCTTTGAAATGTGATACCTGGGGTCGTGTTCAGCGCAGTCCAAACGTGGGAAAACGTTTTTAGAAAAAGAGGTTCAGTAGCAGCGTGTGTTTGCAAATGTGTGTCAGCCACCACGCTACTTCCTTTTCATTTATTTTTGGATGACTAAATCGAAAGCGTTGCAAAACATCTTAAACGCCTTTGTGAAAACGTTGCGCATTATTGCAATCGAACCGCTGCTTCAAAATGGTTGCAAACCGGTGTGGTGGTGAAGAAACGTTTTCCCCTTGAACGCACCCTCGACGGAGGGCCATAATATAAGGCAGCGCTATCTATGGTATTATATTGTTAGTTATAACCTGTCACACGTGATCCTCATCAAAAAAACAACAACGTGGAAATACAGCATTATGTCTAGTTTAAACCTTAAACGCTAATGTTGTTCCACTGTGTTTACCAGGGCGGAGGAACATGATGCCCGAAACGAGACACTACCAGCACAGTAGCCTACTACCCACTGTTGTGCAACCTTTCAGGCTGTGTAGAGTAAATGTTACATGTTTGCCACCAAAATGGGTTTTTGCAAGTGCATAAACAGCAAACATATGCAGGCCTATGCACACTCAATTTTAGCAAATGCAGCAGTCACCTGTATAAAAATACTATAATGTCAGTGTCAGTCACATCTGTATATAAAAAGCTGTATATAGTGTAGGCCTACATGTAACTCTTATTCTATTTGTATTATCTTATATCATATATTATGTTTATTTTCTTATCTGCTGTGTTGTGTTGTATCTGGAGTGAGTTCATTTCTTTCTCTATCTTATCTTATATAATATAGTATATTTATAATGATTTCAAATTTACACATCATTCACATTAAATATAATTTGCACATTAAAGGTCCACTGGTAATATTTAGGAGGATCTATTGATAGAAATGGAGTATAATATTCATAGGTATGTTTTCATTAGTGTATAATCGCCTGAAAATAAGATTTCATTGTATTTTCATTACATTAGAATGTTTTTATCTACAGAGGGAGCGGGTCCTCTTCCACAGAGGCCGCCATGTTNNTAGCCCAGAACGGACAAACACTGACTCTAGACAGGGTCTTTTGTGTTTCTCATGAGTTTTACAGCCACCATAGTTTCTCCTCCATGCTGAGCTGTATATGGCTGCAGATTGAAACTTCACCGCTAGATGCCACTAAATCCTACACAATAGTCCTGTAAAGCACGACTGTAACTGTAACTGTAACACTATGGCCACAAGTTTAAAAATTTTAAAATGCATTTATGTATTCATATTCATTTGATTTGTCCTTATTTCAAACTAGTCACTTAAATACACCATTATTCAAGGTCTGAGTGAGAAAGACAGCAATGGGACCACAAGCAGTTAACAACAAACATATCTTAAACCTTAAAAGTCCACAGACGCGAGCGGTGTTCAGTTAGTTGCAATCTTAAACTTCACTGCTGGATGCCACTAAGTTCCACTACGCACTGGTCCTTTAAAGGCTGAGTGTGAACCCTCCCTTTCAAAGCGTGAGGGAGAAACTACAGCAGCCACGAAAGGCGTGAAAAACAGCCCTATCTAGAGAGTCCAATAAGTCCTCCTAAATGTTAGTGTACCAATCTCATGCCCCTGTAGTTTTACATACACTGTCATGAATGGTTCAAGATGCATAAAGTTGAAATATCATTAATTATCCTACCTCAGGACAATAATAAAACTGACTTTAAACTTTTTATCCTTTCTCGCTTTCTTGTTTTTTTAACTTGCTAAAAATGTGAAAGGACTGCATTTTTTCAGTCGGTTGAGGAATGTTTAGTTTTTTTTTTCTTGATTTCAATAGCAAAGCTTTCACGCCAGAGCCCATATTTAATTTCCTTATCCAATCAATATCTAATTTCTTTCAGGGGAAATCCCAAATGCGTGGGAAAGTGGCCAAATGTTGTTATTGCCTAAATAGAACAATGGGAGTGTATCCCTCCGTTGTTTGAAGAAACATATCAAATGCTTCTTTCTACACAGCCTCCCAGTGGCTTGGCAAGCTATTGTGTATCATATAACTTTAACACTCCAGGTTTGTAGTGCAGCCTGGAATCTATTTGCACAAGAAAAAAAAACTCAGTGTCCCAAACAGGGAAAAAACAAAAACATTTATTTTGTAAAATGTTTAATAGTTAGATAGATACCACATCATCATGTGGTCTTATTTGTTAACATTAAGTAGTTATGAGAGTGGAACGTGTTAGATTTAGATGCCAGGGTTTGCTTGTGTGAGCTCCTCCTTGTCAGCCGCTGACTGTGGGTGGTTGAAAAGTACAAGGCCGTTTCCTGCAGGGTCGGCGGTGCACAGTATCCAGTGGTTATTGTCCTGCTCAGCTTTATGGGAGTCTAAGAAGGTGTGGGCAGTCACCTCATACTCTTTGCCATATGTAGTCCTGCAGGGACACAGCTGTTAGCCACAGAACGACAGCATAACATGACTTTTAGCTGCCATTATATATATGTCCACTTGCTAAAAAGAAAATAAAAAATAGCCTACCACAAGACTTTATCACCCAGGACAGCGAGAGCCTGGTTTGTCTTGCAGTGTATGATCAGCACCTTCACATTCGCCTGTAAAAAAAAACAAAGACTATTAACAATTGCATGTTAGGAAGTACAAGAAACACAAATCATTCTGCATACAGTTTTTAGATTCAAACAACAGAAAATGCTAATGTTGAGACAGGTGAATAATTAACCATGAAGGTACAGGAGAGACTTACAGGAACAGGATGACCCTCATATTCAAGCCTCTCCTGAGGGTCAAAGTGCATTATCTTCCACCATGACAGAAAGCACCCACCGTCCTCTAAGTTCACTTCTTGTAGGAAGGACTTCTTTGCACTCTTTGAATGAAATAAAAATAATATGATATTGACAATAGGAGAAAAATCTAGTGAACAGGACAGACATCTGCAGTCTTCGTTTGACTTTAAGCGTGCGTGTAAGCTTTCTGCGTTTCTGCTTTGTTTAACGTCCCATCACAGCTGGTTGTTTTTCAGTATAATGCATTCTCCTTGATGCTTTTCAATAAATAATTAATGGTATGACTTGATCTACCTTGTGAAAAGTTTGCAGGTCACTCGTCAAGTATAACTGAGGAAAGAAAGGAAGAGAAAACATGTAAACACACAAAGTGATATGCAAAAAGCAAAGTGAACCACGTTCAATTTGGATTAAACATGAATAATGACATGACATTTACGTATCTCAGCCACGAAGAAACGGCATTAAATATTAAAGGTGTAATCCATTAGTTTAATATTTCACTTCCATAACGTCTGGGTACTCAGACAGACTACAAAAAAGAATGAAATAGCAAAGAAGGTGAAGATTTCCTGACTTTTTTTTGCATCTTTCATTAAACCTGCCCTGCCGGGAATTTACCCTCTTTTGAACTTCACTCCCCCGGTTTGTAACACAAGCTTTCTGTAAAAACTTCGAACTCTCCAAGTCAAACTGAGAGAACTTCCTTCCACAATAACCCATCATCAGGGTTATTTTCTTAGACGCCCCTCAATGCCAGAGAGGACGTTACACAACTGTTTTTGCATGCTGTGTAGAACTCCTCGTGAGACACACGCTGAACTCCACGTGTAAAGCCGCTGGAGTGTTAAATAAAGTACTTAATTATATGTGTGTGTGTTTGTTAGTTCACTTACTCCACTGGCAAAGCCACTTGTTGTTTTCAGGGCAAAACTTTGCTCAAAATGCAGAGTCGATCCTTCAGGACTGCCGTCTACACTGCAGTCACACAAGCAGTGTTACAGGTGTACACATCTGGGACAGTTAATATACGTGTTGAGGTGTACGTTGATGAAAAGTGTGCTGTGTGTGTGTGTACCTGGTAATGATGAAGGCAGTGCGTGTGCAGGCCTGAATAGTTCTTCCTGCACTGATCCCACATGGGGCTTGAATGCCAGGCGAAGGACTCTTCGTCAAACCGTTAATGTCTGTGTTAATGCTCACTGCGCTGCTCTCTCTGTTTTCTCCTCCCATGTTCACCAACATCACAACGTCCCCAAAGTGCAGTCTTCCATCATTTGTCACAGTGAGATCCACCTACACACACACAAGCAAACACCATTATCATGATCGTTAACATCCCCGTCATCGTTGTGATATTGTTGCTGTTGTTAATAGTTGCTCTTAATTGGCTTAAACTCGTTTTTACCGGTCTCAAAATGTGCTGTTTGAGGAAGTCTACTTTCTGGCCAGCAAGCTCACCCCTCTCTTTTTTCTCCAGATACTCTTTCTTTGCATCCTGGGAAAAGTTCAAGTCCAAGTTTAAAGAAAAACTTATCAACACAATATCAATGCATCACTGTTAGGCTTTTTTTTTTCTAGCTCTAAACCCAAATAACTTGAAAAAATATGGAAAATATTTTGTCATCTGCCATTCTGCTCTTTGTTACTGAATGGCCCGTGCTGAGTTTCTGAGTTTCTGTGTCCTTGTGTTACTGTTTAACGCATGTGTAACTAGCAATTTGCAAGTTACTGGGTGAGTCATTACAAACCCGTGCTGTGCAGACAAACTTTGCTGAAACCTTAGGCTGTTTGAATTTGAATTTGAAGACCCAAACGTTTTTCAAAGATCACAACTATGTCAATATTAAAGGGGAACGTATTAAATGATGCACAACTCATCTCAAATGTTCCTATTTTTCTGCAGCCATAAAAATATTTGGGTATTGAATATTTCACTCAGGGTAAACATATATCTTCAATGAAGAGTTGGAACAAGCAGATACAGAATATGATACTGTCAGCAAATCTCAAAACATCAGCTGATCTTTAAAGGGAATAACAATATCCTTGTATTATCATTATTAGCTCATTGACAGTCATCTAAGTATGACAAATGTTGCATTCTACCCTCCTTTTTCATTAAAACTTTTTTCACTTGTTAGTTTGTTATTATAAATATTTTTTTTGTCATTTATCTAATATAAAAAGATAAATAATAAGCATGTGCAAACAAATGAATTTATGTTTCACCTTCACGGCCCTATTAAAAAAAAGTAGGCCCATCATTTCAGCTCTAATGGGTGAGTTGGCTGACGCCAGCTGTTGTGTATCATAAAAGTTAAATAATAATTATATTAACGTGTAACAGGGCCAATAAATTAGATAAACGTTGAGAGTTATATATTTGGAAACAAACCTCATACAAGCGCTGGTCCTCATACCAGTTTCCGAGTCTATTTGAGCGATAAGGTTTCACATAAGACATACTGATAGCCTTTTGTGTACTGATAAGATAAAAACCTTAAAGCTACCTTTGGTGTTTGAGCTGGTAAACGTAGCCCAGGTATGGTTTGTGTACTGGTTTCTATGGTGACTGATGGTGACGGGCCAACGTCTCGTCTTATGTCAGTTCTCGCTGGTTATCGCGAGAGAGCGTGCTGGTACAGAGCCAATGAGATCTCTTGATTATGTCTGCTCATCCTGGTTCCCCCTCATGAGCAGGACGAGATCATGAAAAAATACTGACACACATATGTTTGTATTAAAACACAAGTACACATACACATACAGTTTTAAATACACATTTAAAACATTTCCTCGTAGCTTTGGTTTTGCATTAATGTGCCCGACCAAACACACTGGTAGAAGCACATATATCCACACATGTGACTCACGTCATCATTTTTACTGTGATTATAATTATTCAGAACAACATAAAAAATGCAAAAAACAACATATTAAAGGTGTCTTCCTCTATTTTTAATTAGGAGAAGAATAAGGTAGTTGAAAGGTTCTGAATTGAGGAACTCCAGATACCACGCAGCTTCACATCTGTTTACGTATAATCCTTCACAGTCCCTTTAAATAATAATCTCTGTGTATCAGAGTATTTACTATTTCTTATAAGCAATTAGATTCTAACAGCTGTAATTCAGACTGAATCTGTCCACATGTCTGCTGTCCAGTTTCCTTTTTCTCTGCTTCCGCCTGTGTGTATGCGTTAGTGGCCATTGGCCCGGCCTCTGGCTCCAGAGCCATTGATGTGACTGGATTTGTGGTTTCTTTCCATCGGTGAGTCACTGTCATCCTCCTCTGCATCGCTCCTGTCATCACCTTCCAGCTGCAGGATGAAGATGAGTCACAGAGAAGAGGTAGAAAATGAGTGTGAGTAATAAGACTTAACAAGCTTAAGTAACCTGCAGAATTGGCTAAGTATTCATACATTTCCATCCTACACGTAAATGAATATGCACATAGAAACACATGAAAACTGACCTTGCTGAAGATACACTTGTAGAGCATTCGTGATATGAGAACAGCCCAGTAGAAGTGGAGCATCTGCAGCACCAGCAACATCACATTGAAGAAGTAGTAGCCAAAGAAGGGAGCAAACTCCTCCAGTGGGTACACCCATGTACAGTGGATCAACCTGTAGATTATTATCACATTATATCTTCACACATTACACCAAGATCTTCATCGTGCTGCGCCTGTCCATTTCACACACACTTACCAGAATGGAAAAATGACAAGTCTTGTCAGCATAAAGAGAAACGTGAACACCACAAACATGGCATTAGCAGTCCGGTGCCACTTGGCGTAGTTTAATACCTTTGCACCCTGTGAGGTAAAAACAGGGAATCAGATTCAGTTCTTTGTTTAAAAGGGATAGTTCATAGTCATAACATCACTGCAGGCGGGTTTGCTATTTAGATTTAGCTTTAATCATGTAATAATACCGTACAAGAAGGACATTTTTCCTATGCTAATACAGGAGGTTGACATAATAATAATAATAATAACAATCACAGAAATTCAAGATTGAAACAGCTGCCTCCTCCTACTACTTTAGTAATCTCAGTTGTGATCCCAAATGCTAATGTAAATCATTTTTAAAAAAAAGTTTTTGGTAAATGGTCCTGTACTTGTAAAGTTCCATTTACTATAAATGTATACCACTCAAAGCACGTTTACACTACGTGCCACATTCACCCTTTCTCACTCAGCGATGGCAAAGGCCATCAAACAGAAACTAACACATTTATACACATTCACAGACCGATGCATTGGGAGCAATTTGGGGTTCCATATCTTGCTCAAGGATATTTCGACATGTGGCGGGAGGAGCTGGGGATCGAACAACCTTCCAATTAGTGGATGACCCGCTCTGCCTCTGAGCCACAGCCGCCATGCTAGCAATGGGGCTAGGCGATTGCCTTCAGGTTCACTGCTGTTCAATCTCAAATTAATGTTTATGCGAAAGGGCAATACATGTGGGTTAGAGGGGGGAAGAGTTAAGAATTGTTTTGTCATCAGATTGGAGACCTGCCTACAGCGATTTCAGCAATAAGCCAGACATCTTGGCTTTGTGACAAACTACTGACACAACTACTAAGCCACATTTTTACCCTTATTGTTTGTCTGTTTCTGCAGAATTTAGACAATGCAAACCCATTATCTGTTAATACCGCATCCAGACCTACAGTATGACAATAGCTATCACACTGATTACCTTGCGCATGTCACTGATATAAAAACAGCGCTGACCTCGAGCAGTATGTCGGCGGAGTCATGAACTGCCATCACAAGCGTCCCAATACGGATGTAGTTTGAAATCCAGGAGAAACTCAGAAGAGTCAGTGTGGCTATGTGATGAATCACCTGCTCTTTGAAGTCCTACACTCAGACACACATGACAGGTAAACATGCATGCATATGACATGTGGACATCCCCAATTTATTGCATCTTTATATAATTAATGGTAAATGCAGGTTTGTTTTAAAATTGATATTCAAAATGTTTTAATGAGTGTAGTACATCCCTTTTATTTCACACATCTGCACACTCACCTTGCGTTTAACATCAAAAGTGAGGCTGAGGAGCAGAGAAGAGTAGAAGCCCATTTCCAAGAGGTAATACCAGTACTGAGATGGCAGCATGGACTGCATGGACACACGTAAAGATGTTTATTATATTACATACTGTCTTATTGTACAAGCCATCCTAATAGCAATGGCAAAAGCACGTACTTGTTTAGGGAAGCCTGCCCAAACCTCCTTCAGATTATAGAACCAAGGTTTCTACAGCCAACAAAAACAGAGAGGGAGATGAGTGTGTGTGTGGGGTGTTAGAGAATAGCCTTGAAAAAAGAGACAAGGGTAAACGTTGGCCACAAACTCATGCATATTTGTCTGCAATGTCGACTGCGTGAGTGTGAGAAAAACCCTGAATCAGACATGAGATAGGAAGAAAGATGAGTTTCACATACTGCACACAGTGAATGTGGTACACCCAAACAGGGAGACAGATGGAAGGAAGTAGAGAGAGAAAGACAAAATAAGGAGAGCAGCAAAGCAAACAAGTTGTGCAATGGAATAAAACTGGCTGACATGAGAGACAGTTACTGTGATAAAACATGGAAAAAGGCCAGAACTACTTACATCATAGAGAGCTAGGACTCCATAGACAAATGCAAAAAAATAAAACACACATCTCCAACTGTTGACAGACAAGAATAATGTCACATATTTACACTTTATATTGTTATCACATCAGTGTATAATCACACCCACACACACACACACACACACACAAGCACACACACACACACACACCTGGCCTCGCAGAACCTCTTGCGAAGCCCTGGGCGCTCCTGGTTCCTCCTCCTCCTGAACCAGACTTGAACTCTCCTTTCCGGCCAACTGGTCTTCTTACACAGAGACGTCACATCAGCCTGAGACAGAAGGGAAACAATCCAGTTGTTTTCCACCCTAGGAGGCACACGCTCTTACACAAGTTAAACACCAGCATCAAGTTTTACTCATTGCAAAAAGAACATGTAACTTATTGTCCATCAAATTTCAGTAAAAAACAGAAAGATAAAACATTTGTTTTGACGAAAACCCACAGTTAAAAGTGAAGTGACGCAGTATACAGGTATGTGAAAATATCTTTAAAGTCTAGTGGTAACATTTAGGAAGATCTATTGTTAGAAATGAATTATAATAATATTCATAGATAGGTTTTCATTAGTGTATAATCACCTTTTGTTACCTAAGAATGAGCTGCTTTTATCTACAGATGCCGTAGGTTGCTTTTCATGGAGTCCCCCATGTCGAACTGCAATGTTTCTAGTAGCCCAGAGAACAAACCAAACACTAGCTGTAGATAGGGCCTTTCCTGTTTTCACAAGTTTGGCTGCCACCGTAGTCTCTCCTACACACTTCACAGCTCATTTTCATTCCCAGGTCGTCAAATATAGACTGCAGGGGTGTTCAGTTGGTTGCAATCTGTGATTTCACTGCTAGATGCTACTAAATCCTACACACTGGTCCTTTAATTCTTGTTAATACCACACAAAATCCTGTGCCTAAAGTGCTATGTACCATCTGGTGACTAAGATGACTGCATGTGAACAACAAATCGCCTTCGTTTTTTAGTGAAATACCCCTTTTAACAGACCTTTGATGGAACCCGTGCTTGGCTGCAGAAGTAGTTTTCTAGGACTGGGTTGGGTTCTGCTGTGAGTCGTACCCTGTCCCTGATTTCCCAAACATCAGCCAGTGGTGCGGCCAGATACCTGCAACAGCACACAAGCAACATCACAAACTGTATAACAAATGATCTGGCACAGCACAGGCTTTGTTTCTTCCTTCTAAACACAACAGAAGTGATTCTATGGAGGTCAATGTATAACACTTGCTCCTCACATCTTGTGCAACATAATCCCAGTATTCTGAAACCAGACGGTTGCATTGCTAAACTCACGGACACACATGCACTCACATACCGTACTGTCTGTTCTCACCTCTCAAACAGGTATCTGACCAGGAGCATGCAGAGGGCACAGGGCAGAGCAGCGTAAAGTTGGGAGGCTTTAGCGTAGACACGACCTTCATTGTCCTCCAGATCGGACCAGGAGACGTTTTCTGGCAGCCACAGACGCTCCCACCACAGCCATTCAGTGACGGTCTGCAACATGCTGCAGGCCAACATAGGATTCACCCATGAAATGTTGTCATACCACACGGGTAGAATATTTTCATTTGACTTTAATAAAACTTTACTTTGATTTTAAGACTCAAAATACAATTAAGACTAGATCAAAGATTTGTGTGTCTATTTATTTTTCCAATTATAGAATGAAACAATGTCAGCTGGCCAAAATAGTGCACATTCACTGCAATTATGTGGCAGCCAAACCAGTTTTTAAAGAATAAACTGAACACTGGATACAGGCTGGCACGCTGAAACAGCCACTATAGGGCTCTGGTCCACATCCACTCACAGTCAAAAACACACCACTTTTTTTGTCTTGAATCAACAGTGCCAATTTAGTTGTGTTCACAATAGGCGCTGGAAATAAAATCTGGCATAATGAAAACCATTAGTTCATAAAAATGTTGTCCTTTTACTGGGATTTACATGTGTACATTGGTATTTATGGCAGGACAGGGGTTTTACCTTGGTTTCCTTTAATCCGTTTTTATCGACCAAAAAGTAAAAAAAAAAAACAATTGCTGTTAATAATCATCAAATGAAAAACCATGAATGTTATTTAATGTAATCTCATTTAGAACTTAGTATGACATCATTACATAGACTGACTTTCTCTCAGCACCCCCAACTCTGACTTATTTCTGTCTGTCTGCCACGACCGCCTACTGGTCTCTGATAGGACAACTGCTCTGGGGACAGTCAGGAACAAAGTGGGAGATGGAGAACAATAATAGATATCAAAGGGCAAGAAAGATAAAGAAGGGTGAGGAGCAATTCAAAGAGATAAAGTCCTTTTAGCTGTGGACTCTGCCCATAACAGTATAGATAAAAACATGTTATTTGAGCAATTAGAAAACAACTTTTCAAATGGCCAACCAAAGTTGTCTAAAGAAAAAGAATTATAAATATTTGCTCTGAGTTGTTGAATTATTCACTAGGATACAGTATAACTCATATTACTGTGTCCTTGAACCCCAAAATAAATCACTATGTCAGCATGGGAAAACACATATGTACCTTAAGGCACTGATGTCTTGATAAAATCCAACAGAAGAGAGGAAAGCTAAGGCAGAGGGTGGATACAGATAGAGTGAGTGTGAAAGTCTTCACTTTTAAAGTTTTTATATTCAGTCCTTTGTCAGTTACACGATACATCCATTAATGTATGCACATGCCCATGTATACACACACACACACACACACACACATACACACACACTCACCTTCAGTATGCCCACTGTGAGACGTAGTGTTTTCCAGGGACCTGTCTGTGTGAAGCCAGTCTGTTACTCATACAGTTTGTGGACTGCACTTATCCACATCAGATAACAGCCTCGTTAGATCCTATATGTTCGCTCTTTTGGCTATTGTGGAGCCATTCTTCAAAGACTGCGTGAAATGTTTTTAAGGAAGGAAAATATTGATTCATGAGCTTATGCTTTCCCTGATCTGTATGATGTACCTCATTGTGTGTGAGGCTCCAGTGAGCATGTTGTTTTTGTGTGTCTGGTCGCTCACCTGGTTAGAGAGACTGGGATCCTTCCCTCCCACTCTGTCTAATCTTGTGATTACACCCTTGTAGTTGCAGCAAGACCTAAGATTACCTCAGCACTGGAAACTCCTAATTGCCGTTGAAACATTTTTCATTTTCAGCTGTAAATGCTATAAGCTTCAGAAGTCATCACTGTGTGCGATTGTTGGCGTAGCCTCACCTGCAAAAAAATTCCCTTGGAAGCCCCCACAAAGGGCCCATTCATTGGTGGGGCAGGGGAAGGAGGAGCCAGTGCAGGTTATGGATAGAGGAGAAAAGGGAACTTTCACACAGTGAAACATCACTCTGCATTAATGGCTGCCTGGGTTAATAATAAAACATATCAATGCAAATCAAGTGACCTTGGCTACGATTAACTTCCTTCTCTGCTCAGTTTCTTTTGGGAAAATATGATTAGATTACTGGTTTATGACCAAGTGGAAGATTTTTCTTTTTAATCCTTTTTAGGAGAACATTTAAATATCAAGTTTCAGAGGGATACAAAAGCAAAACAACACGTCACTGAATATCCATATTAAAATACAGGTCACGGAATAATTTCTTGGTGTTCCACCGGACGCCACAGGGAGGCAGCAGAGACAAGACAATGGGCCTCTTAGTGTTGATACTGTCACCATCTTCCAGTGAGGATTTACTAGTGACATACATACTGTACATGTTGTGTTGTTCGTCTCATGTTTGTTCAGCTTGCCATATCTGAAAATAGGTACTTCTGGACATGTGATGTTATTTGTCTCCTATTTACGCTTAATATCGGTAATTAACATAAACTGCAATAAATATAATACTTCCAGTTTTCACCTCTCCTGTCTGTAGTCAAAGCCCATGCAGCAAAGTTAACAAATGCAACAAACCAACCCATGACCTTTAGAGTTCAGCAGGAAAAACAGATATCAAAAATATGTCCTTCTTTTATTATCATTTTACATGTTTTTATATATCAAAACCTCTAAAAATAAACAGTAGGTCTACAAGCATAACTGTTGATACTAGCTGTGCTGTATATATTTCCATTTTCCTCTGGTCTACAAGGCAGCACTGCTGCATGTGTGGGACTGAAAATAACAGAGGAGCAGTGGCTACGGAGCTGTGTCAGTGGGAAAAAAACAAATCAACAAAAAACAACAGAAGAGTTCAGTCCATTGATATTTTCCTCGAGCATGGCAGGGAGAGTTTTAGAGCAGTTTTTCTCTGGATTGTCCAGCACTCCCCTTGTCTAGACCAGCCCTAAACCACTGAGTAGTATAAACATCTCTGTGAAGATTAAGAGGATAAAAAAGGACGTTCTGTTGATCTGGATGGTCTCTCTTCAGACCCCAGGTATTACGTATGCAGATAGGGAGGACAGACGGAGGGGTGAGGCTCCAGTCATAGACAGGGGAGGCTAATCTGGATAGTCCTCCTCCTCCCTCTGCCACCCTCTGGCCCTTTCCCTTGCCCTCCAGCTCTCCTCATACTGGCGCGTTACGCTTCAGTTCACTGGGGGAAGGAGGGATGCAGTCCTCCAGCTTCATAAAGCTGGTGGAATGGGTAGGCTTGGTGGAGGGCTCCTCGGGGCCGGGGGCTCTTTGCCGTGCAGGCAGCGTGGAGCACCGGGCTTTGCCCCTGGAGCGAGGCTGTTGAGGCGGAGGGCCTTTCAGCATGAATAGTTCACTGGGGCCTTTGGGCTGTTGGGCTGATGGGGACTGTGTGGGATGTGGAGAGGTTGGTGACACCGGTGTGTGTGGGGGAGAGAATGGGTTGGATGAGGCTGATAATGAAGAGGAGTGTTTCCCAGAGGTTCCCAGAGGAACCAGTGGAGTAAGTGTGGCCGCCTGCTGGAACCTTGTGAGGCTGGTGGAGTGGCTGGGCCGTGGCAGACTGTAGCAAGCCTCAGTCCCTTTGTGGCGGGAAGGCAGGGTGGAGCAGCGGGCCTTGGCCCTTGAGCCTGGCTCTCTGGGAGGAGGAGCAATTAGTGAGAAGAGCCTAGTGTCAATATCTGAGGCTGTAATGTCTGCCCTGGAGCTCTTCAGACTCAGAGATGAGCCTCTTTTAGATGATGGCTGTGACGGAGGCTCCTGGTCTTTCTGGTATTCCTGTTTGGAGCCTGAGCGGGGAAGCGCTGCATCTGTAGCTGTGCTGGATGAGGGTTCTTCATCTACATAACAAGGAATAGAAAAAAAAAATCAAATGATTAAACATGTAATGCATATTGAAGATCAAAAGCCAAAAACAGAAAGTATACATTATATTTTCTCTTCTCACCTAACAGCCCCAGCTCGGACATGAAGGAGTCCAGATCGACAGTGAAGTTCTCGTCTGCCTTCACTTCCTTTTCTTCCTCCTCTTTTTGTGCTTCTTCCTCTTTTTCTTCTCCTCCCTCTAGCTCCTTATCATCCTTTCCATTTTCTTCATTCACTTCTTCATCATTTTCCTTTTCTCCCCCTTCTACCTCTCCGCCCTCGTCTTCTCCTCCACCTCCTTGCTCTTCCAGCGCATTTTCTTCAACTTCTTCAAGTGACTTCCCGATCTCTGGATCGCTGTCCCTGTCCCTTTGGGGTTCATCCAGCTTGATCTCCACCCTTTCTTCTTCCTCCACCTCCACCTCCTCCACTTGCTGCTCCTCCTCTTCTTGCGGTGGTGCCTCCACCACAATGTCTATGTTGGCCGGGAAGCACGGCATGGAGCGTTTTGGAGCGTGAGATTTGACACGTGCTTCTTGGTCCTGATTCAGCAGAAACTCCATCAGCATCATGTTCTCTTTCTTCAGCTGTTCACGCAGAGATCGTGGTACGTCCGGGATCATCCAGGCAACCAACATGCTGAGGAACATCGCAAGGTTCTGCAGGGACACAGACAAGGATATGTCTTTTTTTGTTTACATGTCTGTTTACATTTCCAGAAGTGACTTATCCACATCCACAAACAAATTCAGTGTGCAAAAAAACACTCTGCAAACGCTATCACTACACTATTTCAGGTTGGCTTCAGACTCAACATGCCAGCAGTAAAGACCAACAATAGTCAAGAAAATGTATAGCAAGGTTTTGAAAAAGAAACTATATAGTTTGTTGACGGAGAAACAAAGAAAATTGTTTAATGCTAATGGATTTCAGAATCTTTGGGGCTCAGACACCACTTTTTAGATCAATATTAACATAACCACAATTGTAAATATTATTTATATACCTGGAAAAATATTACAAAGGCCAATTTTGCAGCCAGGACAGACCAGTACTGTTTAGAGAAAGTGTAGGCATCTGGGTCCCATGGCGGGTCTCTGTAGTCCTTATACCTGTAAAAAACACAGACAGTTTGAGTATTAGCAAGGAGGAACCTGGAGAAACATGAATGATGGTTTCCGATTTGATAAAAATTTGGTAATTCTTAAAAAGAAAGATTTGCCTCAGTAAAATCCCTACTTTAAATGCCACATTGTAAAGTTTCGGAAAACTCTAGACAAGATTCAGGGTAAAGTAAGAGTTAAGCTGCTGGGCTCAAAGATTTAGAGGGAAATCCAGGTAGGTCAAGGTTAAGAGAGTCTCACTGACCTGCACATGGAGACTCCGGTGATGAGGGTGGTGGTAGGCGCAGTGCCCGGTGGGAAGTTGCTGACATTAAAGTAGGACAGTGAATGCTCTGTGTAGCCGTTCATGGTGCCATTTACACTGTACATGTACTGGTAAACCATTCGTGGTACAAACTCCGATGTGAAGGAGATTACAAATGCCTGAGAAGACAAACACAATACTGTATTATGATACATCTTCATGAACCAGTTACTGTATTTGGACCATGATTATTTGTTTTGTTGTTTCTCAAAATAGCTTTCTGTAATTGAACTCTATTATGATGAGTTCAGTATGCTGATTGATTTTTTAACTATAAATTCACCAGTTTTACAGAACAGAAAACAGCTCACTACCATCACCACACAACACTGTACACAGAAATGTTAGGCAGACTCAGACACAGAGTTACCCTGTGAGATCTTCAACCATTCGTAGTGCTAGAGCAATGTTTTGATACACATTCCTGCCATTCCCCTGATTGACAGGGACAGATAACAAGTAAAAAGTGTAGCAAAATTGATTCATTTCAATTATTTAAAAAAACGCTAGATTTAAACAATACACACAGTGCATTTTGGTGAAATTGAATTTTAAAATGTATAATTGTGTTTGTTTACAGAAAAGCTCCACAGGGCACCTTTAATGCACGATAAGGACAAAACACTCCAAACACTTAACAGCAAATTCATAGAGCTGTACAGTACAAGTAAACTATTGCGCACATCACATAAGTAAGACATATCCTGCCAGAGGTCAAAGGTTATGGGCACAGTGGACACACACTCACTCACACACACTTACATTGGTAATGACAGAGAATTTGCTGATTCCACAGAGAATGTTGTACCAAATCCCTGGAGATAGCATGTGCATGAAAAGAGACAAAAAGGGAAAGGGAAGAGTGTCCATGCGTATGTGTGTGTGTTTGAATGTGTATTGTGTGTGTATTTGTGTAAAGAAAAGTAACAGACAGACAAACATGGAGACAAAGAGACAAAAAATGGACGGGAAGAGTGGAGTAAAGGAAAAGAAAGTGATTAAAAGTTCCAGGTATACTTTATTTCACATTCACACAGACTGACAGAGTGAACATGCTCTCATATGTACCTATGTCTTTACACCTCACAGCATCAGGCCGTCGGATCTCAGTGACAAATTTTGCAGCATCGAGGCGAATCTCAATGACGTTGTTGAGCAGAGCAAAAGCTGGCGCCAGCGGGAAGGAGGCCACGAACAGAGACACGAACCCGTACTGGATTACTGTAAATATTAATACAAGCAGGAACACAGTTAAAAAAACGACATTGTGTGATTGCAGTAGCGAGTGACTCAGTGGATAAAAGGATGACTCACTCATTTCCATGTACTCTGGGCTCACTCCTTCAAAGGGTTCAAGGGTGAAATCTTTGTCAAACTGCTGCTTTGGTCTCATTTCTTCCTCATTATCCTCATTTCCTGCTGCTCTTTTCTTTCCCTTTTCTTCCTGCATTGTTCTGTACATTTTTTTAAGCTTACTGAAAAAAAAAACAGAGGACAGAGTGAGAGCAGAGATAGCACAGACTAGAAACTTGGTGAAGCATTTTTACAAGAAAAGTGTGTTTGTAGAAGTGAAATAATAATAAATATATATATATATATATATATGGTATATACTTACGGTATGAGAACCTCAAACACATTGTTTTGGATGAGCTGCTTTCCGAGCATGATCATGCTGAGCTGGATGCACAGCTCAATGAGGCAGCCTGGTGGAGCACACTGTGTAAAAAAAAAAGACACAGATGCACGTTTCCTGTACATATAAATACACATAAACAATGACTACTAATGTGTGTCACTGGACCTACCTCCTCCATGCGATAGTCTCCAAAGACGTAAACATAATCACCAGGCCGCCCAGCAAACCTGTATGAGGAGAGGACCAGGTCACATGATAAAGCAGACAATGGTGGGAAATGAGCAAAGAAAGACTTTATAAAAGACACACACCTGCCCTTGAAGAAGGCCACATAGAAAATAGGTGCAAAGGCGTTCATGGATTTGAGAAAGAAAGACTTAAAGATGAGCCTCTCTTCAAACTCTTCTTTTGTCTTAGGAAGTTCTATTGGAAAGGAGACACAATAACTGTTAGACAAACTTCCTCATAATGGTATGTTGGTATGTCAGTGACCTTCATCTAAACTTGCACTCCCTAAATGAGTTGCCTTTCATGCTAACCCTAACCCTAACATGTGTTGTACATGTTACAGTTTATTTAATCATATCTGTATTTTAATCCATACAGTCAAATTAAAAATTAACTTGGCTACAACTTAACACACAGTGTACAAAAAATAAAAAATTGTTGGGCATAAAACTATGCCCAACAATAACTCAACCAATGCTCAGTACTCAGTCAAAACAAGACTCTATGTAGTGCATTTACATCATAAAGTCTGTATCTATGATAGCAGCAAAAGACCAATGAACACGTTATTCTGTAGCTTTTTTGTTAAAGACAATAGCCAAGTTAATATAACAAACAACAATTGACTTAAGATGACTTTCTTGCAAGTTAGAATGGACAACAGCAAAGTTATTAAGTTTTTTATTTAAAATGTAATTTTAATCTTTCCTGCAAAGTTCTGAAATAATGGATTTCATGTCTTTTCAGTTCCCATTTGGTTTGTTGCAATTCCCTGTATTAGAGTTTTGCACATATGCCACTGTGCTCTCTCTGTTGTTCAGCAATAACATTAGTCCTAAAGATTCCCTATTTAATGCTTTAATTTGTAACAGCATTCAGTACAATACCCAATTCAGTCAGCCACACAGCAATCGCTCCGTAGACCTCTTCTAACACCAGAACGACCAGCATGTTCAGGATGATGCCTGTGGTGGTGACGGTCATCCTCACGCTGGCCTTGGCTTCTGGATCAGGGTTCATGGACCACACACTTAACATGCAGATGCGATAAACGGCCACTCCAAACACCGCAGAGAAGGTTACAAAGATCTGAACACACACAACACACATGCCCACAACATTTAAATGTTAGATGACAAGACTCTGGTGTAGAAAAATGTTCAATTTACCAATCTTTATGATAATATTTGGTACATGTAAATATACATTTTTATCTTTATCTTCTTGTTGTGTAACGATTCATTTTCTCTTTTTCCTTATTACTGTTTCATCTGTCTGTTCTTTAAATTTTTGTTGAATATAGATTTAAATATCTGTATTGATTGACACAATAAAAAATGTTGCTAGTACTAATTTAGAGTCACTAGTGTTGACACTATATTGGTAAAGAAATAATGGATATAATATGGAAACAGTGAGGGAATTATGTACACAAAATAGAGGATTTATGTAGATAAACTGACAAATATTACAAAGACAGAAGGAAAAAATCTGCTGATTTCGGATGCCTGATATACTGATATAAATTACAATAAACATATAATATTGTGTGATGAGAAAGCATCATAAGATTCAAAGAAGGATCAACAAGGAGACAGAGGGTGATAATATAAAAAGTGATAATATAAATAGGGTAGAAATGCAGTACCAGTAGTAGTAAGGTGGACACATTGATGAGATAACCTGACAGGTGATCCTCAATGTCCAAGGACTCTGGCTCTCGCTGTCAGGAAAGACATGCATATTATTTGGGTACACAAACAAAAACAAACAGCATATGCTGTAATGCATGCAAAGTATGTGTGCAGTAACTCTGAGCACATGTCCTGCACACACACATTGTGTTTTCTGTCTGGCAGGTGCATGCTTGCCATCTGAAAGGACAGAAATCCCCTCCCATTCTTCCTCTCCCTCCTCCCCTTTCTCTCTCCATCAGTAATCTGAGCTAATCTCAGGCAGGTAAGCAGCTTTGGACTCAACCACCCACTGTGGGTGAAGGGGGTTTCTTCTTTATGCACCGACGTAAACTCAAACAGACAGTTAGACTGTAATAACTATATTATGCCATAATATTTGATGGTATAGCAACAGTTGTTTACCTTCACGGAGTGTTGTGTAACTGAAGTAGTGAGATATGCATTATGTTGCTATGAAGCAAGTTTAAATCACCTCAGTGTAACAGCCCTGTAACCCCCCCCCCCCCA